GGTATAGGTTTACTTGCGGCAATATGATCCTGTCCTCCCTTACATATTTTATACATATATTAAATAATCCACATGAATCTACAAAAATAAGCTTCTAAAGGAATGTGACTGTACAGTTTTCATGTAAATCTATATACTTGGACATTATATTTCAAGAACTAGTGTCCTCTTATCCCCCCCCCCCCCCCATATAGCACATTTCCATCCTACGCAATTTTGTTGTTGCTAAGCATTAGACATATCACACCTACAAGTATTTGTTAACTGAAAATAAGGCTGTCAATTACCAAGTGGCAATATATTGCTCTCTGCTTATGTACAGTACCTATATATTTACAAGCAAGTTTAAAATCATTGTGACTAATTCATTACTCAACATTTTAAAATTTGGCTCTTCAGTAGGTAGGCATGAATCCAAAATTATTAACATTCCTTTTTGTAAACTTCAGATACGGGAGGTATTTCCATGCCTGAATACACCGAGGCACCCTAAATCTAATTATATTACTACAGTTAGCAAAGAGAAAACATTGTAAGATTTAAAGAGGGTTTTTGTTTGGTTTTGTTGGCATTTTACCTTCAGTTGACCATAATTTTGCGGTTCTTACAGATGAACACTGGCATTTAATCTGGAGTGGACTAATTATATCCAACGGCTGTGCTTGATATAAAAGTTACCGAAACAGCTCTTTAATGTAAGAAATTAAATTTCTAGTTACACTATATTAGTCAGTGTGTGGGTGTAATCCGCTCCTTTCATCACAGAAAACAAATGCCAAAAGGGAGCTCTTCTCATAACATCCTTCGTGTGTTTTATGAAAAGCAAAGCTTGGGCAAGATCCATCTCACTTGGGGCACAGTGCCAATAGACCGAGTAAGAACCCCCTTGCCCCCCTAGAAGCACAATATGTGTGCTTCTGTGTGCAGTTAGGCATCATGGTGAGCATTAGAAGGAAATTGGAAGTATATGTATACCTTCCTGCATCTCTTCTATTCTTTCACAACTCAGGATGCTTCCAGACAGTGTCAAAATCCATCCGAAAGGGGGTTAAAAACCCCACTTTGACGCAGATTTGTAACCTTTTCCTGGGTGGAGGGTGGCTACATGCCATCTCGATTAAAGCAAGGAAATGACACACCAGGAGATGGTGGGGGGGGGGGCAAAGAAGAAAAATGGTGGGCCGGGGGGGGGGGGGGCTATCCCAGACCTTTGGGCTTCAGGACCCAAAGGTGAGTGGCAATATATTGATTCGGGATGAAAATGGAGACTCACCTTCAGGTAGTCCCAGGACAGGTAGGAGCCCAAAAGGTTTGGGATGACAATGGGGACTCACCTCAGGTAGTCCCAGGACTACCTGGAAATGAGCCCCCATAGGCCCAATACCCCATTAGACCCGGGCCTTTCAGGAAGCCCCAACTGCAATGGGGTATCTAATTAATTTGAAATAACTTGTTTTATTCCAAATTAATTCATTTTTATCAGAGGCGTTGTTTGCACACCTCCAGTAAAAATTCAGACAGGTCCAGGGATATGGCGCTATCTGGATAGGCCCTTAGTGGAAACTACATTCAAGTGCATAACAAATATCTACAGTAGTAAGAGAATCAGCTGTCTGGAGATAAGGGAAGTACACTCTCCAGACTGTGGTCCCATCTACACTGCCTATATAATGTGTATCAAACCTGCTCTGTGTCCTAGTCATCTCTACAACAGAAGACAAGCTTGTCTCCTCCTCAATATGACATCCTTTCAAATATTTAAAATGGCTATCATGTTTCTTCTTAACTTTCCCTTCTCAAAGGTAAATTTGTTTTCTTCCATAGCCTCAGAATTAGTGTTAACAATAATAATAAATCTTTATTTCTATCCTGCTCCATCTCCCTGAAAGGACTTGGGGCTCCTCACAACATGAGTAAATGAAATACATAATATATGGAAATAAACAAGGAAACAAATAACAAAAACAAATGGACAAATTAAGCTACATATAGTGAAAACATTAATTAAGCCATAGGTTTTTAAATGCTGTATGTTATTATTGTTACTGTTTATTGCTTATTGTGTATTTTTTGTTTTGAGTTTTATTTTTATTTTTATTATTTTATTTTTAACTGTTTGTATTGATTATTTGTTATTGCCTTTGTTTATTGATGTGCTGTGGGCTTCGCCTCATGTAAGCCGCACCAAGTCCCTTGGGGAGATGGTAGCGGGGTACAAATAAAGTTTAGTTTTATTATTATAAACCACATTTAAAACACAGTGTTTCCACTAGATTAAAAACTTGAGTTTCCATAGAACAAAAACACCTTGTCCCTTTATAAATTGCAGTTTAACTCCTAAAAAGTTATCTGTTGGGAGTGATCTGAAAAAAATTAAATAATCTCTTGACTGGCAACCTGTACTGTGAAGATAAGACAACAGCTGAAGGCCACCAGTAGATAAATGTTATCATATCCTCTGAAACATAACAATTTCTATTTTGTCTACCACAGAGAATTTACAAAGCAAGCAAAACTTTATTTGCGTGTGAAAGTTGGAGGCAGCAAACAACAAGTTCAGGAAACAAAGAGAGAACTGGGCATGATTAAGTTTTCCAATCAGTTGTTGATTCATTCAACAATTAGACAGCCACCTCCTACAGAGAAATGCAAACTGGAAAATATATCAATAAATAGGAAAATGCAATAATGGTACACAGCTAGTGGAATAATTTGAACAGATTGTAAAATGCAAAGATTATAGCCAGAAGTATTAAACAATATTTAACTTGATGATGCAAGTTTGATTTGAGTATGACTCATCAGCAGTAATAATACTTTTAACAATATTTTTGCTGTATTGTCGAAGGCTTTCATGGCCGGAATCACTGGGTTGTTGTAGGTTTTTTTGGGCTATATAGCCATGGTCTAGAGGCATTCTCTCCTGACGTTTCGCCTGCATCTATGGCAAGCATCCTCAGAGGTAGTGAGGTCTGTTGGAACTAGGAAAATTGGGTTTATATATCTGTGGATTGTCACATAGTTAACTGAAAACCCACACACAGAGATAAGATATCTACATAAAAACTCCAACCATCACCCAAGTCAAAAAAGAAGCACAATTAAAGCCTTGGCAGACCGTGCAAAAAGAATCTGTGAACCCCACCTCCTCCAAGATGAACTGAACCACCTAAACTGGGCTCTACAGGCCAATGTATACTCCACCTCAGACATCAGAAGAGCTGCAAGACCGAGAACAAGCCACGAGAGTAAAAACAAAGATCCACCCAGAGGAAAAGTGTTCTTGCCATACATCAAGGGAACCACTGACCGCATAGGGAAGCTGATGAGGAAACACAACATACAAACTATCTACAGACCCACCAAGAAAATCCAACAAATGCTACGTTCAGCAAAGGACAAGAGGGATCCTCTCACTTCTGCAGGAGTCTACCGTATACCATGCAGCTGTGGACAAGTCTACATAGGGACCACCAAACGCAGCGCCCAAACATGAATCAAGGAACATGAAAGGCACTGCAGACTACTTCAACCAGAGAAGTCAGCCATAGCAGAGCACCTGATGAACCAACCTGGACACAGCATATTATTTGAGAACACAGAAATGCTGGACCACTCTAACAACCACCCTGTCAGACTACACAGAGAAGTCATTGAAATCCACAATCATGTGGACAATTTCAACAGAAAGGAGGAAACAGGCACTGCAGTGCTTATGGATTTCAGAAGTGAGTGTTTGATCATGATGTAGTTGAGGTAATTGTGCTGGAATATCTTCACTATGAAATAGTAATGTATTAAGTTTCAGTATATTAATGTACAATTTGTGCTAATTTGTGGAACCCCTTATATAAACAAGCAGTATCTATTCTGCATGCTGATGATTATTAGTAAAGGTAAAGGTTTTCGCCTGACATTAAGTCCAATCGTGTCTGACTCTGAGGTGTGGTGCTCATCTCCATTTCTAAGCCGAAGAGCCAGTGCTGTTCAAAGACACCTCCTAAGTCATGTGACTAGCATGACTGCATGGAGCGCCGTTACCTTCCTGTTGGGGTATCTATTGATCTACTCACACTTGCATGTTTTCGAACTGCTAGGTTGGCAGGAACTGGGGCTATCAGTGGGAGCTCGCCCCTCCCCGCTGATTCAAATTGCTGACCTTCTGATCAGGAAGTTCTGTTTTAAACTTGTATGTCTTTGTGTCTTTGAGGGTGCTTCCAGACAGTGCCAAAATCCGCATTTTAAAAGTGGGTTTAAAAATCTTGGGACCTTGACAGCAGGTCCAGACACAGACTTGTCAGTCATAGGAAATGGTCCCCCGTCATTCTCACAGTTTTCTCTTGAAGTGGATCAAGATCGAGGGCAGATGAGGGACATCAGGTGGAAGTTTATTTTTAAAAAAAATATCAACTTGGTTATGTTCTGGCCTGTATATACACACATGTGAATATCTTAATATAAATATAAGCAAATTTGTATGTGCGCATATCAGGTCTAGCGCATAACGGTAAGGAAGGAAAGCATGTGTTTTGCATGATTGCAGAAATATACAGTCATGGGAAAGTGCACATTTTTCCGCTGGAATCGGGTTATAAGCACACCTTTTCAACATGTGTGTTTTGCCTCTTAACCTGATCCCTTCCACACACCCCTTTGAACCTGGTTATTTCTAGGTTCTATAGCGCGTGTAGAAGGACCCTGAGACAGCTCATGATGACTCCATTTGTGAAAATAGAAAGCTTCAAACAACAACAACAACAACACAATTCATGAGCACTGGAATGTATCATTTTTAGGCTCAAGTAGCATTTTACATTTCAGAAATCCATACTACAAATTTCACATTTTAGAAATCCACAATATAGTCCTCAATATACTTCAATCTCCAGTTAAAATGTTTTAAATAAAATGTAATTCTACTGACACAATCAGTGAGGAGCTGATTTTAAAACAATAAGAATTCATGACCACAGCAGCATGCTGCTTTTTAATGAATTTACCTGCCATCTCTTTCTGCTGCTCCACCTTCTGTTACCGTTTTGACGAATATGCCCAGTTTCTCGAGGCCTGCATCTGCTCCTACTCCCATTCCAATAATACTGATGCCAAGCCCATCTTCATCTGAGAAGTAGACACATTCTGTTAATTGATAAGCACTGTCTGCTTAGATTAATGTAATCTCGATCTTATTCTCTTGCTAGCTGAACAATATCTTTTTAGTTTATCCTTCTCCAAACATAGAACACTGTATTATTTAATGTTTCTTGCCCCCCCCCCACCGCCATATAAGACATCTTTGAAACTGAAGTTTTTGAAGATATTCATACAACAGGAATAAACATGTACATTATTTGCTCTCTCATATGAGCAAGAGGTTTGCAGAAAGAATATCCCTATAAATTATGTATTTTGGCAAAAAAAAAACCCAGCAATTGAATAAATATTTAATTTTTAGAGGTATTTTAAGTGGATACTATCCCAATGCCATGGTTTGTCAGTACTTCACTTGTCACTGAAAGCCAAAATTTCCTCTCCTATTAGCAGTATTTGCCTTGGTTCTTGGTTCTCCTGAAAACATCAGTTGACATGGGTTACTGCCTTACACCTTCCAGCAAAGACAGATGCAGAATTCATTCAACTTCGCTGAAATCTCTTTATCCTGCTTTAGCTTTTATTCCCTTACTGCCCAACAGAGCAACCACGGCTTTACATGGTTTCCTGCTTCTGAAATGTTTAACTGCATTACATAAACATTGTTAGTTTCAATGGTCTTAGCAATATGATCCTCAAATTATGAGGGTATGAGTGTGAGTTTGCATCCTTTATTGTCTGCTTGAGTTTCCTTGAAGTAAGTTTACATTCAGGCCACTGACAGTCGATGGTGCACAGAGTTAAGCTTCTTAAAATTCCAATGAAGCCAATGGATTAAGCCGGATTGCTGCTTGTGTGAATTAATGTGTTACCTCAACTCACAGGCACAGCTGGTTTTTCATGTCAACCTGTTCCACTGAAATTCTACAATAGATCTGAGCAGCACTTCCTATCCTTTAAAAGCTCTACCACGCGGGACACGAGGAGCACAAACCTTTTTGAAGCTCTACTGGGAAAAGTTCCAGTTTCTCCACACGTTTCTCTAATTCATATTCAGCTGATGCAGCCACAGGGTCAACTTCATCATTTCTCCTGTCATAGTCTTCATTAGAATATGTGTTGAAAACCTAGAGAGAAGGGACAATAATGATCCATTATACCCCAGAAATCCACCATTAAGACCTACCAACACACACAGCCAGGGCTTCCAGGGTTGAAGTGCTTTGCCTATTTAATGAGTAGGATAATAAATCATCTACCACAGACACTCGCCCTCCTTCTTTCTCCGAGCTTAGCTACTATATTCACAACAGCTACAGATGGGGAAGAGAGACACATTTGCTTCAACGACAATATCGTTGTAATCTACCCGCCTTGATATTCAGTATTTTGAATGACCCAGAACTGAATGAAGTCACCCTCAAACAAAAGAAAACCCAAATGTAGACAAGAGTCATTTTTGTCCATTTGCAGGTAGGATTTATAGATGATTCTCAGCTGATTTTGGAGTGATATGGCCTGATTGGTGGAAATGTAGTCTCCCAATGCTATTGTCCTTCCAAATACAGACTGATACAGCTGCAATATTTTGTTCTGAGACATATTTGTGCATGTGGCCAGTGGGCCATGATGAAACGTTGCATTTCAAAACTTACCGCAACATAGTGCAACCTAACATTAAGTTAGGGAATAATTACTGCCTTCATATCATACTAGACCAGGTTCATCCAACCTCTGGCCCACTGGCCACATGCAGCCCGACACAAAATCATAAACTTATTTAAAATTATGATTTTTTTGTGATTTGTTTTGTGTAATCTGAATGAATGATTCTTGAGTGTGAACGTTGTAGACAGCAGAATGGAATAGAATAATCAGAGTATGATAAAGGCAAAGGTAAAGGTAGTCCCCTGACATTAAGTCCAGTCATGTCTGACTCTGGGGTGTGGTGCTCATCTCCATTTCTAAGCCGAAGAGCCAGCGTTGTCCGTAGACACCTCCAAGGTCATGTGGCCAGCATGACTGCATGGAGTGTCATGATACATTCACAAATAATATTAATATTCTAATTAATATTATTTACATTCACAAGTAATGATACATTCACAAATATGTATGATACATTCACAAATAATATTAATATTCTAATTGTAAACAGTTTGGCCTGAAGACCTGCTCAACAATTTTAAAAGGCCCTCCAGATGGAGTGAGGACCCTTTTTTGCTTAGCTGTTGTGGCAGATTATCACAAAAATTATGCATCCCCCCCCCCCCACTTTTTAAATCATTTGCTATTGTTAATGTTACTGCATTTGATGTGTGGCTCAAGACAAGTCTTTTTCCAATGTGACTCAGGGAAGCCAATAGATTGATTAACACTGTACTATACACTATAGGGTTTGTTTTTAAAACAGCATGATTATTCTTACATTTTCAGCCCAAACAGAGTCGCCTGTTTGGGCTGAAAAATGCGGCATAGAAATAAAGCAAATAAATAAATAAATAAATAAATCTGATTCTTGGTTCTCATTTCCAAGATTTCTTAATTTCAACATCCTAATTTAAAGGCAAGTGGAGCCTTTTTTTCTTGATACTAGAGATCAGCATCCTTGCCAATCAATTGCCAATCAATAGGAAATGTGAGATACCAGCAACCTTCAACATCTCTCAGTAGCCTGTTAAGGATTCAGGGTTGTATTTCTGCATAAAGCAGGTCTACTTTCACACCTACACTTGTCTTAATTGTAATACATGTTCTACAAAGATTATCATTCTGTTCCTTTTAATAATTAAAAACATATGGTAGTTTTAGCCGGAAAAAGAGCACTATCTTCACATTAAAGATTCACAGCAATACATTCAAAAAAAAAGAAAGACAACATTCTGGTTGGATTTGATATTCAGACAGGCTTTTAAAGAAGAAGGTTTTTAAGATCAGTTCAGGGGGTGCTGTGGTTTTTAACTTTGAATATGTTTCAATGGCTTTTAACTGTGACATTTTTAATACTGTTTATATTTACAGTAGAGTCTCGCTTATCCAACATAAACGTGCCGACAGAATGTTGGATAAGCGGAAATGTTGGATAATAAGGAGGGATTAAGGAAAAGCTTAATGAATGCCAAATTACATTATGATTTTACAAAGTAAGCACCAAAACATCCTGTTTTACAAAAAATGGACAGAAAAAGCAGGTCAATACATTGTAACGTTATGTAGTAATTACTGTATTTACAAATTTAGCACCAAAACATCACAATGTATTGAAACAGCTATGGATATGGGTAGAAGGCAGACTGCATTGGATAATACAGAACGTTGGATGAGTGAAGGTTGGATAAGAGAGACTCTAGTATAATTCTATTTTAATGTTTTCATTTTTGTATATTTTAAATTGTATGCTAATGCTTTTATGTTAAGCTTCTTTGAGTCTCCTTCAGGAAAGACATAGCAGGGTATAAATAAATATTATAATTTCCCTGAAATTTTTGCTTTTAATCATATTTCTGTTGAAAAAAACCCCTTTAATAAAGATTTTTTTAAAAAAATTATAATAATAAAATGATAAATTTGGACTATAATCATTTTCATCTTTTATCAAATAATTAAGTTGTGATATACACACATTACAACCCCCCCCCCCCCCCCGGCCCCAAAGTGAAGTTGATGGAAGACAGCCTCCCAATGGCTATACAGTGCAGAAGTTAAAAAAAGAAAACTCTGTATATATAAATCTGTTAGGTTGGTTCAACGGGACAGCAAAACTCCACAACCCCCCCAACGAAACTGCACCAAAATAGACATGCCCCTAGGACAACCCACTCGGTACAAACTAATCCACTCAGAATTGAAAACAACACAACAACACACAGATAAATCGCCAAAACAACTGAGCATGCGCACTGGAGCAAAGTCCCCAGTGCGTGCGCACACATGGCTGAACGGCGAACGCACCCTCCGCACCTCCCTCCCTCCCTCGCCCCGCCCAGCACGAACACGTCACCGCACTTCCCCGCGGAACACACACACACACATGCACAACACCTCACCTCACTTCCCCGCGGCACACACACACGATCAATGCACCCTCCGCACCTCCCCCCCCTCGCCCCGCCCAGCACAAACACGCCACCACACTCCCCCGCGGAACACACACACCACAACACCTCACCTCACTTCCCCACGGCACACAAACACACACGCCACACCACGCCCCGATCTTACCTCCTCCTTCTTCTTCCCCAATCTCACCTCCTCCCCCTCCTTCTTCCTCCCCTCCAAGCCCCGCCCTTTCCTGTCCCGCCCCCTCAAAATGGCTGCCTTGCATGAAGCATCTCTCGCCTAACCCGCGTTCCTGCCAGCCGGCGGGATCGCGATCTAGGCGACGGAGGTTTCGTGCAGGGCATAGCCTTGCACGAAGCCTCTCTCGCCTAAGCCGCGCCGCTGCCGCCCGGCGGGAGTGTGATCTAGGCGAGAGAGGCTTAGTGCAAGGCTAGGCCCTGCACGAAGCCTCTCTCGCCTAAGCCGCGCCCCTGTGCCTGCTTCCTTCTTGCCTTTTTGGACGACTCCGGCCAGAGGGAGGGACGACGGAAGAGCAGCAAAAGAGGCAAGTGCTGGGAAGGGAAGGGAAGGGAAGGGAAGGGAAGGGAAGGGAAGGGAAGGGAAGGGAAAGGCGGGGGGGGGAGAGGAGGGGGAGGCTTCACAACACAACACAACACAACATCTCACAACAGAAGCAGTGACCATCACTCAAACAATTATGATTTTGTCATTTGCGAGATGTAGTTCCTGGGATTTATAGTTCACCTACAATCAATGAGCACTCTGAACTCCATCAATGATGGAATTGAACCAAACTTCACACAGAACTCCCATGACCAACAGAAAATACTGGAAGGATTTGGTGGGCATTGACCTTGAGTTTGGGAATTGGTAGTTCACCTACATCCAGAGAGCATTGTGGACTCAAACAATGATGGATCTGGACCAAACTTAGCATAAGCATTCAATACGCCCAAATATGAACACAGATGAAGTTTGAGGAAAATAGACCTTGACATTTGGGAGTTGTAGTCACTGGGATTCACAGTTCACCTACACTCAAAGAGCATCCTGAACCCCACCAATGATAGAATTGGGGCAAACTTGCCACACTGAACCCCCATGACCAACAGAACATACTCAAGTTAACACACAAGCATAAAGAAGGGGGAGGAAGGAGGGATGTCAGAGAAAGAGAGAGAGAGAGAGAGAGAGAAAAAGAGGGGAAAGGAAGGAGTGTGTGAGAGAGAAAGAGGGAAAGAGAGCAAGAGAAGAAAGGAAGAGAGAAGAAATGAGGAAGTGAGGCCAGGCAGAGACTTCAAAACTCTTACTATAGGCCACAGCAACGTGTGGCAGGGCACAGCTAGTCAGTGTATAAGTATGACCCACCTTCCTGCTGTTAGTCATGAGAACTATGGATGCAGGTTAGTAACAGAAGACAATTCACATCTTTAGTCCATCCACAGCCTTCATATATTTTCCCAGCCTCAACTGCCAAGTCACTAATACAAAAGATTCCTCGCTCTAGCACTGGAGAATAGTTACATTTGATCATGATGCTAACAAGGACTTCAAAACACATCTGCCTCATGGCAGAAGCTCAACTCTGTACGATAGGTTTTTCAAATTATTGTGCAAAACTAAAGCCAAAAAATTCCCGGATAGAGTCCAGGCATGGCATGGGGTGGTATACATAGCCAGTTCCTCACTTCTTCAACACTTAAAAAACCCACCGCATTATACAAACCCCAATCACTTCCATGAAAATAATGAATGAGGCTGAGCCATCAAAATTTAATGTGTATATTAAAATCCTTTATTTCTGGAACAAAGCTTCTCACTGCATTAAATATGAGGTTCAGATTGTGGGCATGAGTACAATGTCAATGCACGCAATTGTTTTGGAGTTCAGCCTGGAATCCGCATGCCTTCCAAGAGGTGCTAAAGCTATCCCACTTTGCCTTGGCAGATTCCCCCATCCTCTTCATACTAACGTTAGCGTCAAGGAAACATTATAATACTACTCTGAACAGAAAGAAAACACAGTCATCACTCATACAGATGCCAGTTAATAAAATGGGAGCTACAA